AACACTGATTGCAACCACATGCAGTGTTCTTGGAGAGTCTATTGTAATACATTTATGAAAGTTTAGCTTATTATTTTGAGGAAGGAATTGTACACAGTTCTGTGGGGTATCTCAGCTAATACCAGGATCAAAAAACAGCTATAGAAATTGTAACCAGCTCCAGAAAGAATAACACTTGGGTGGTTTCCATGTATATACTGATCCATAGACTAGAAAACAAAGACTTTGGGTATCTAAAAACTGAGTTTGGAGAGTCTTGGGAGTCTTCTTTTTGATTAAATAGATGGACAGGATCTTGGCTCCTAGGGAAACCTCAACCATCCTTGCTGAAAGGTTTTGACTAGGACTCTATAGCTACGCCTTCACTACGGCACTATTTTGGTATATCAGAAATATCCCCAAATAGCTATTCCGCATCTTTAAAGCAGCCCATTATTTCAAAATATTTCAAAATAACAGGTACACTATTCTGGTGTTCCTGTAACCCTGGTTCGATTAAGGTTAAGGGATGTTTTGGAATAGTGCTTTATTTTGAAATTTGGCACTATGTAGAAATAAGCTCTTTTGAAATTACCTCAAAATAAGCTGCGCAATTTGCGTAGCTCATTTTAAGGTAAGGGTGCAGTGTAGACGCACCCTATTAAACTGATGGGTGATGTCTATCGCGTTTAGTAAACCTATATGGAGTTTTACTGTTTGTATTTGTGTGCTTTTTTCTTTTGGTTGTTAAAATGTACTTTGCTCAGAAAGACCTATGTGGTCACACTCATAAAAACACTAAGGTCTAGCCTTCAGGCAGAATGGCTGGCTGGGGATATTACAGTGTATGGGGAGGATTCTTCAGTGCAGCCTTAAAACTCTAGGGCTAAGTCTACATTGCCACTTTACTGCGCTGCAACTTTTGGCTCAGGGGTGTGTAAAAACACCCCTCCTGGAGCACAGGAAGTTATAGCACTATAAAGTGCCAGTGTAAATGGGCTCCCAGCACTGTTAGCTGTTCCCTTCCTGGAGATGGTTTACATAGAGCAGTGGTCCCCAGCCAGTAGATTGGGACCTACTGGTAGATCTTGGAGCCTCTGACAGGTGATCCTGACTGGTTTGGCCACGTGGCTATCAAGTGCCAGCACTTCAGCTGCCTCTTCTCCTACTTCTGCACATCTCCTGCCCTTTACCTTGGAGCTGTTCTCCCAGGAGCCTCCTGTTTGCTGTGCAGGGCAGGGAAGGGAGAGAAAGGGTGCTGATGTCAAGGTGCCCCCTTCTCCCATCCTGTATTGTATTTCCACAGAGCAGAGAGGGGGCACAACAGGACTTGGGATAGAGCAAGTTTGCTGGCTGCTTCTGGGAGTGGTGCAGGGCCAGGGCAGGAGTGAGCCTGCCTTAGCCGCACTGCACCATCACCCAGGAGCCACCTGAGGTAAGCAGTGCCCAGCTGGAGTCCACAGCCTGAACCCTTACCCAAGACATGAACCCCCTTCCTGCCCTAGCCCTGACCCCTCTGCATCCAAATACCTTCCCAGAGCCTACATTTAGAACTCCCTCTGGCACCCCAACTGCCTGCCCCAAGGTCAGCTCAGAGCTCCTCTCACACTCCAAATCCCTTAATCCAAGACCAAGCCTGCACCCCAATCCGCTGCCCCAGCTGGTGAAAGTGAGTGTTGGGAGGGAGGAGGAGGGAGTGAGCAGGGGCAGGGCCTCAGAGAGAGAGGCAGGGCAAGGAGCACAAAGGAAGGGGGGCAAGGATATTTGGGTTTGAGGTAGATCTTGGATTGCACTTAAATTCAAAAAGTGATCTTGTGTGTAAAAATGTTGGGGACCACTGATATAGAGCTCTCCTAGTGCTCTAGATGTGGCCTCACTTTCAGTTTAAAGCACAGTGCTGTCATGACTGCGCTTTAATTTTTAGAAGTGTAGACAAAAGCTATGTCTACACTTGCAATTTATCAACAAAACTTTTGTCATTCATGGGGCGCTTAAGTACCCCTTTCATCATGAACAGACAGTTTTGCCGTGGCAAGTGAAAGTGTGAATGTTGCTTTGTCGGAAGGAGCACTCGGCTGTTGACAAAGCAAAACCTCCTATTTGGGAGTAGAAGTATTTTGTTGACAAAAATGCCAATAAACAGCATTCACACATGCTCACTTTTAGTGACAAGGCTGTGTCAACGCAGCCTTGTCACTAAAAGCTGCGTAGTGTAGACATACCCAAAGAGCCTGAGCCCTGACTGGCCACTACTGGAGAGACCACACAGATAAGGAATACAGGTGCAGCTACCCTGAAATGGTGACACATGGCATGGAATGGTATGCAAAATGGGTATTAGGTGCTATGGTATATATGCTACAATTTTGGTAAGAGCAATGTACAGCAAAGAGGATGGGTTACATAATTTTTGTGCACTTGTGTATTTCCCAGGATATGATTTTTGTACATGGTGCACATGCTTTGCGGGATGCTCCATATACACAAGTACCTTTGCAAGGATTCAACTCCCTGCAGCAATTTCATTCAGTGTGACCCTGGGGGTTTACCTGATGTCATATAATTGCAGGGTGTTTTCCTCATTGGGCACAAATCTCAGCTGTTTCACAGAGGAGTTTCATGGTGGGAAGCGCCTGCAGAAGCTGCAGTGCAAACTTCTGGGCTGCTTTCTGTAAAACATTTGAAGGAGCTGATGTGGGGGAGGAGGAACTGGAAATCAGGAGCCAGGACTCTTGGTTTCTATTCCTAGCTCTAAGGAGAGGTGGTCTCATGGTTAAAGCAGGAAAGGTCTGAGAATCAGGCCTCCTGGATTCTATCCTTATACCTCACTCCTTTTTAGAGATAATGGTTATAGCAGGGGGGTCTGGTACTTAGGACTTCTGGGTTCTGTCCCTAGTTGTGGAAAAAAAGTGGAGTCTAGTATTCACGGGGTGCAGATGGGAATCATGATGCCTGGTTTCTACTCTGCTAGTGACCATTTTGCTGCGCTGTGCCTCATTTTCCTGAGAGGGGGGAATAACACTGATTTATCCCTAGGGAGTTTGCAAAACTATAGATAGTTGTGAAGTGCATTTTAATTCTGCAAAATAAGGACCAATAAGCAGTTTGTGGTGAGAAATGCAGAACTGAATCTTTAAGTCTTGTTCTAAGACCTGCAGATCTTAATTCAGGGGTTCAGGACATAAAAGAGGATGCCCTGCTCTTTAGATAGCATGGATCTAACTAAAGCAACCGCCCCGGAGACTAGCAAAAGGCCATGTCTCCCAGCAAGCGACATCTATGTTTTCTGGTATGACTAACACTGCTAAATTTAGTAGGGTTGCCAAGGCACCCTGCACATTCAGGAGGCAAACATCTATTTATAGTGAGGAAGCTACCATACTGTGCTGTTTAAACAGCCCACGTGCGTGTCCCCTTTGCAAATAAATGATTGCGTTTTAAAAGTAGCATGTCGTTTCCTGCCTACAAACAGCTTGAAGGTGGGTTGAGAACCAGTCATTGAAGTTAAATGACAGCTTGTTTTGCCTGGGATTCTGGGAACTGTAGTTTGTAATGCTTGCTCCACATTTTTTCAGCCTCCCAGGTTTCAAAGCTAAGCTCGGTGGTCGCGAGGGACACTGAGGGGCAAATGTGGATGAATTCTGTTTTGCGTTTATGTTCAGGGCTTTACTGAAATAGGTGAATTAATGCCTCCATGTGATCTTAGGTGATAAATAATGTTATCCCCATTCTATTTATAAAGAGCTGAGGCATAGAGGAGAAAAGAGGCTCGCCAAAAAATCAAACAGCTAGTCACTGGGAAATCTGGGGATAAACCAGAAATCCTGATTCCCAGCCCAGCCCTGCTATAACTCTCTCCACCCCACTCCCCTCCTAGGGCTGGGACTAGAAGCCTGGAGTTGCAATGCCCAGCCCTATGTTTGCTTCAGCTGCAGGAATACGATATTATCATGAATGTGATTGCTCAGGGGTAGAATGGTCCACTGCGTAGTGCTGCAGTTCAGGATGTCTGGGTTCTAGTCCAGGGTCTGCTATAGACTTTTCTCTGTTTGTTTGGCCTCTCACCTTTTGTCTGTTATTGTTTTAGGGCAGGGACTGTCTGTCCTTTATTGGTGCAGCACCCAGCACAACAGGGCCCAAGTCTCTCGGCTGGGATCTGTATAGCATCCGGAACAACAGGGGTGGGGCTGGCTGTGCTCAGGGAAGCTGATAGCCATATTGGGCCCCGGGGCAAGGTGGGGGGGACACGGCTTTGCATACCTGAAAGGAGTGGGGTCAGGGCAGCCAGCCTCCAGAGTGGTCCAAGTGCCCCATGCCAAACTCCCCTCCCCAGCCCTTAGAGCATGCATGGGGAGCCATTTTTGGGTCAGGGGCTCCACTTGAGTGAGAAGCAGAAAAAAGTGAGACCCAAAAAACAAATTTCTCCAGCTGAGAACCAGAAAGAGACTTCCCCCCCCCACACACACACATATTGGGTGCTCCAGCCCTGCGGGGGGTCAGTGGGGGAGGGCCAACATGATCTCCCTAATGTTGAGGGGATGTGGGGAGGACCCTGAGCCTTAGGGGCCAGATCCAGGCAAGCTGGGGGCTGTATCTGGCCGCTGGGCCTTAGGTTCCCCAACCCCGCCTTTGAGCCTCCTGGAATATGCCGTGTAGCACTGCAGCAGTAATTTAAAGGGGAGCTCGGGTCCTTTAGAATAGTTGCCCTCTTTGCTACCCCTCCCTCCACCTGCCATCAGCAGGCCTGGCAGTACTATAATAATTCAATGAAGGATGGGAAAGGGGCATTGAAATATTGCCGTGAAACCAGCTAACAGCAGGAAAGCACACGTCCATGGTAGGCCCCCCCTTGCAGGATCAGCCTCCTGAGATGCCAGCCCAAGACACAAGCCCTGCTCAGCTCCCTGTATTTGTTTGCTGCATCAGAGCCCTTTACTGGCAAAGAAGAGAAATGCAAAAGCCTGGATGGGGTCGGTACTACATTTCCCAGGATCCCTTGCGCAGAGATGGGCGGGTTTTTGAGTGCAAAGCCCTTGGTGAGTTTCAGTCTGTAGCCTCCCAGCAGCCGCAGCAACTTTGTCCCCTCTCCCACCCCCCTTTGCAAGCCAAATACCAGGTGCAGTAAATAAGGGAGAAGAATTTCTCTCTGCTGCTCAGGGACCAACCAGGGAGGCTGGGCAGGGAGCCCCAGTGCATTCCTTTCTGTGCTGCCATGCTAGGGGTTCTCATGACCCTGCCAGGCAGGAGATTGTCTGGAGCCTTAGGGCAGCTTCTGAGGGGCTGGGGGAAAGGCAGGCTCCCCAGGGTGCTGGGTGGTTTCAGGAGGGGCACGTGGAGCTGCAGAGACCCAAGTGCTAGCAGCCAGCCCCCAAGCACAGTCCAATTGGTATCCAGAGCCTTCCGGAGCTGGGCAGCTGCTCCCCCACTAAGCATGGCGGCTAAGGTGGATCTGACCACGTCCACTGACTGGAAAGAGGCAAAAAGTAAGTGTGAGGATGTGTGTGTGTGTGTGTGTGTGTGTGTGCGCGCGTGCACGTGCCCAGCTACTCCTTCCCTCTGCCCATGCGCCACTTTAGCTGGGCATCATACCTCTGTTTGCAACACACCTCCATATAGGGCCACTTACCCTGTCTAATTTCCACCCCCCTAAGGGCATTTGTCCCTTCTCTGGGCACTATGCAGCTTTGCAGGGAGTCTGTATGCCAGCACAGAAATCCACCCTGGATATGGAACAGTTGGGGTCTGTTGCCACAGTGCATTGGGTTTGTTAAAAACTGACACTGTTCTTCTATCATCCCTTGTCTCTGCATCTAGCCATGCAGCATAAGTAGGAATCCTATCATGCCTTGTGCTGCCTCAGTACACGGTGGGTGATTTGTGGGATCCCCTTCTGGATTTGTGGGAGAGCATATGTGTGTCAATGCTCCCAGCATCCCTTGTACCATATCCCAGAACTCAACTGGCAGCTGTATCATTCCCAAGTTCCTTGAAGGGAGGTAGCACTTCCTAGGCCAGGTGCTGCAGGGGGAGCAGAGCTGGTGCATTGGAGCTGTGTGGCTGTTCCCTATGGTGCTGGCCTTCCAAAACCAAACCATGGGAATAGAATGCTCTGCACCAACTGCTAGTGGCACTGCAGCACCACATGCCTGAAGCTCTACCGAGCCAGCCCTGACTCTACCATGAAAGCTGCCCTGGACATGGAGAATGTATTTGCCTATCCACTTCCTATCAGGCACAGTCAGTGACAGAAAGTGTGATGCAAAGGTATCCATGTTGTGCTGCTGACACAGTCCCCCTGCGTTATTAATCCTCTTCATCATAGTAATGCCAGGCACTAGCCAAGAACAGGACCCTGTTGTGCCAGGCACCATACAAACCCAGGGTAAGAGACAGAATCTGCCCCAGTGCAAGATGGGGTAGCAGGTATAACTGGGGCTCATATTGACTGGTGCTTCTGCATTTCATCGTTGCACCCCTGCTGGGGCTGGCACAATACCTAAAAACCCAACACCAAAGCCCTCTTCCCTGCTCCTTTCAGTTTATAATGAGATTCAGCATCCATGTAGCCTCACCCAAGCCCTCCTGCTCTAGGTTCAACAGCCTTTTCAGTCCTTATCTAAGGGATTATCTTCCTCATAGCCCGATTTCCTAGGCCCTTTGCACGGCTGTCTTGAGGGATTGCTCCAAGACAGGAAAATTGGAAGTTCTTTAAGAGGAGTTTATTAGATGGCTAAAAAGCCACAATTCTACAATCAAGAAAGATGACAGTTTTGGCTAAAAGCCCAGTCTGGCTCAGTGGCAAAGTGAAGGCAGCAGTTAGAAATTAAAAAGAAAGTAATATAGAACAAATGGAAAAGAGGGGTAATAGATAGCAATTGATCTAAATTAGAATCTAGGAAATGTAGAAAAACCGATAAGGAGGGCTGAAGGCATCAAAGAAAAATGCATTTCTGGCAGGGCCAAGGAAAAGAAGGAGTTTAAGTGTCTTAGGAACAAAAGAAATCTTAGCAATGATACAGCCCAGTTATAAGGTGGAGATGGTAAAATTGTTCACGATGCAGAAAAGACAGAAGTGTTCAATAAATCTTTCTGTTCTGTATTTGGAAAGATGGAGAATGATGCATTTGTGTTACATGATGAAGGTAAAACATTTTCAGTCCAAAACTAAGGGCAAAGTTAATGCACATCTGTGAGGGTTAAATATTTTTAAATGAGCCAGCCCAGGTAACTTGCACCTCAGAGTCCTAAAAGAGCTATCTGAGGAGGTCTCTGGCTCGCTTGATAGTAATTTTTAATAAAGCTTGGAATAGTGGGGACATTTCAGAAGACTGGAAGAGTACTAATGTTATTCAAATCTTCCAAAAAGGACAAGTGGGATGACTCAGGTAACTATAGGCTGGTTAGTTTGACATCAGTCCCAGGCAAAATAATGAAAGAACTGATATGGGATTCAGATGATGTAGATCTAAAGGGCCTATAATTATTGTCAGTCAGGATGGTTTGATAGGAAATAGGGCTTGTCAAACAAACCTGATTTCTTTCTTTGAAGAGATTGCAAGGTTGGTTGGTAACAGTAACTGCAGAGATGCAATACACTGAGACTTATGTAAGGCGTTTGCGTCACACTGCACAACAATAATAAGCACTATGTAATATCAGAAGAGCACGTTTCCTGGAGTAAGAACTGGGTAATAGATCTCAAAAAGTAATTGACAGTGGTGAATCCCTGTTGAATAGAGATGTGTCTCGGGGTGGCTGGCCCTTTAGAAGGAGTCAGAGGCAAGGCCCTCTCTATTCTGATGGGCTTCTTTAAAGGGAATGACAGTGAATTGGCTGCTAGGAAAAGGGCAGGAGCGCTAGTGGTACAGGGCAGGAAAACTTCCAGGGAAAGGAATTTAATTTAGAGGTTCTTAGATAGATCCTGGTAGGTTGGACCTCCTGTGGCTGTGCTGTCTGGAGAAGAGCTGCAGTCGGCTGGAGGGTCCTGGCCTGCAAAGAATCATGCCAGAGTGTCACTTGGCTACAGGGCCCAGGACTGAAACACAGATAGAATCAGCCTCCTGCTAAGAAGCCTGGGCGAGGGTCTTGTGTTTGTGTTAATAACAGAGACCTTCAATTGCCAATCTTCCCGGTGGCCCAGTTAGAGAAATTAAGGCAGAGTGTGTCTGTAGTACTATATGTGGCCACATGGAGGTGTGTGGGATGGCATCTACTTTACAGGGCATTCCTAGGGAAGGTCTCTAAGGATCAGTATTAGGCCCGATGCCTATCCACATTGCCATCTGTCACGTTACTGGATCTTGAGGGGAGCAGCCAGATCACTGCTGTACCCATAGGTGGGGTGTTGGCCCCAGAAAATGGTATAAAAGGGGGCCATGTGGGGTGCTGAATAGAAGCTTATTATCCAATAATCCTATGTAAGCTATTTATGTGGTTGTATAATGTCTGTGTGTGTAGTTAGGAATCTGTAGTCTGTGTGGATACTGAATACTTCTCTGCATGTGGTTGAGCATTGGGCAGAGCCCAGGCCTGTGGACATGCTAATTAGCGAGGCTCTGTGGGACAATGGCACTCAATGGGCCAAGGACACACCTAAAGCATGAGGGCAGACACCTAAGAGCGGCCAGCGGGGATAGGCTGATGGCCAGGTGACCTGCTGCAGCCAAGCAGAGGCCAGGAAGGAGGGATAAAGAGTTCAGGTGGGGGACCCCATCTTGTTCTCAGCTCAGCACTTCATCCCAGAGGCAGTATTGCAGGGATCGAAGAGCCCGGAAGACCTGTGAACCCATCCTGATGCTAGGATGTGCAACAAGGACTTTTAAACCAGCAGCTGTAACATCTCTGCTAGAGCCTGCATCGAGGACTGGGAGATTCGGTGCATGTAACGTACTATTCTTTAACAACCTTACTCTCATGCTTTTCTTTCTTGCGATAATAAACCTTTAGATTTAGATTCTAAAGGATTGGCCCAGCGTGATTTGTGGGTAAGATCCAGAGGGTAAATTGACCAGGGATCTGTGTCTGATTTCTTGGAACCGGACAGAACTTGTTCGGGGTAGGTGGGATTGGGTGTTAGGACCCCCCACCTGTGTATGAGGCCCGGGGCCATCTGGGGCACGGATATTGCTGGGGTGTCGGAGGGGTTTTGCTCGTGAGGCTTCAGGCAGGCAGCTGAAGCGCTCTGTGGGACTGGTTTGTGGCCTGTTTGGAGAGGTCACCAGTCTGGGGGCTGTAAGGAGCCCCGGATTTGAGCAATTCGCCCTGAGCGGACGCCCTCAGCTGTGCCCAGACATGGCCCGGTCCGTCACACCATCAGTGCCTTCAAAGTATAGGTCTGTACACAGGAATTTATGTGGGGAGTGTGAGCTGTAGGAGGGGCTGGTGGCTGCCCCGCCCCTGGGGCCCAACCTCCTCTTGGCCTTGCTCCTGGGAGAGAGGGGGGATATCAGCCCCAGCCTTCCTCTACCTGGTCAGCGTACGGGGGAGGGTGGCTGGGTCAAAATGCTGTACTCATGGGGATGCATTTGCACCCTTTGCACGCACTCCTTCCCCCACCCCATGTATGGGCCGGAAATAAATATAAAATCACTGCTACTAAAACGTATGGAGACTCAAAGATGTTTGAAGTGGGATGATGAGGACGGTCCTCTAGAGCAATACAGATTGTTTGGTAAGCCAGGCCCATTCCAACAAAGTGTGTCAGAGGAACAAGTTGGGCTGGCCATCCCAACAGAAGGGGGAACTGTATCCTGGGGAGTGGTGACTTGGAAAAGGAGTTGGAGGTCATCAAGGACAGACAACTCAGCAGAAGCACCCAGTGTCAAGCTGGAAAACAAGGGCCGGTGTGGTCCTTACCTGTATGAAGAGAGAAGGAGTGAGACGGAGCAGAGAAATGAGTTTAACTCTGAATATGGCATGAGTGAGACCAGGTAGGGATGGTATATCCAGTTGTGGAGGCCACATTTCAAAATCAAGGTTGAAAATGTGGAGAGGTTTTAGAAAAGAGCACAAAATGATCTGCGGGTGGAAGAAGGCACCTGAGAATGAGAAACTTGGGGAACTCAGTCTGGTCAGCTGCTCAAAAGAAGAACGAGAGGTAACATAGTTATAGGTCTTTGCAGGGGGAAATACTAGGGACTGAAGGGCTCTGTAGCCTGACAGAGAAAGGTTCTCGTTCAGACTATGTCTGGAAGCTGATGCCAGACACATTTCAATTAATAGCATGGGTGATTAACCATAGAAGCAGTTCTTGAGGGGAGTGGTGGAGTCTCCATCTTCTGATGTCTCCAAATCCCCCAGGCCAGAGGCTTTAGTCAAACACAAGACATTGGGTTCAATAGAGGGAGAGCTGGTTGAAATTCTGTGGCCTGTGCCATTCAGGAAGTGGTGAGTAACACAGAGACTGTCTAATGCCCTCATATATGCCCAAAGCCTCTTTTGGAGACCAGGTCAGTATTCTTCTAAAGGTGAGGGCTGCATTGGCATTCACCCCTGAGGTAAGGCAGGAGAGCCTACTTTAAATTCCCATGGTAAATTTGTGTTTGAACTCTGGAAAGTGGTGGGGTGGCGTACGGGGAGCCAGGTGGAAGGAGTGCTGGGTTCATTTCCAAGTTCTACTGAAATTGTGACCATAACCTCAGAAAATTACCCTTACTTGTTACAGCTTAGAAAATATATGAGCTGTGGTGAGAGCTTGGTAGCCTCGCGATGGTCTTATGAGTTCAGGGCTATCTGTTATGGATCCATGGGTCCTGAAAGCTAGTGCAGCCTGCCCTCCTGCATAGCACAATCCAGAGATTCCCCCTCCACTGCACTCCTTCAGCTTTTTCCTGAAGCCCATACCTTTGAGGCAGAGCTAGGATCAAGCTCAGTGGAAGTGAGGGGAGTTGGGGATCTGCCTTGAGTTACCGCCTGGCTCATATTTGACAAGCCAGACCAGGTTTTTTGTATGGATTTGCCTTTGCCAGTTGCCAGATTAAAAATAAAACAGCACATGACATTATTTGTGAGTCTAAAGATTTGCATTACTATCACAATACACTGGGATACCTATTGGGGTACTAATACAAATTCGTGTGGAGCTAATGATGCTTCAGTATTCCTATTTCTGCAGGTTAAGTAAGAAAATGTTGTCAATCATGTCTCTGTGTTCTCTCTCTAGCTACTATACGTGGCTGTTTAAAGGGAGTTGTGGAGTTGCCTTGCAGTTGCGAAGAGTGGAGGGCTGGGTTTTTTTGCATTTCAGGGGTGGTAACCCTAGACCTGCCCCAGGGCACTTGCTCCAGGGGCTGGTTTCCTTCCCCCTGACACAGCACACCCCTCATTTGCAGAGGACCTCAGTCTCAGGTTCAGAAGGAAGGGTGTGAAGTGATGCTCCCACAACAGGGTAGGCAGGACCATGCCACTTGGAGTGCGCCAGCCTCAGCGTGCATAACGTCAGTGCTTGGTTCTATCCTGCTCTGCGGGGTCACCTCAGGCAAGGCCTCTCCCCTGAACAGCTCCTTGTGCTTTGCTCTTGCAGTGTGGTTGCAGTGGCGGGAGGAGGGCAGGGCAAACCAGATTGTCTGGGGAACCCCTCTCTGTCTGGATCCTGTCCTTCTTGCCTGCCTCCTGGGGTGAGCAGCCAATCGGAGCAGCCGTTAGAAGTGCTCTCAGCATCCCTGAAGCCATGCTCATCACCTGAGTTGGGGGTGACTGATGGCTCCTCTGCCTCCCGTCCTGGGAGAAAGGGCGTTAAGTGGTGGGAGGGGGAAGAATGCCTGGAACTGCCTCCCCAGTCTGAAAGGGGAGGGGGACCCCACTCCAGCTAGATCAGAGAGGGGGGAGGGGAAAGAGCCCAGAAAGCACAGAGGTGGGGCTGGGCTGGGGGAAGGAATGGAGGATAGGGGAGGGCTGGGTGAGCAGTGGTGCTGAGGGGGAAGATGTGATGGGGGACAGTTTTGACTTGGAGGTGGGGGCAGAATTGATTGCTGGCTGGCCTCGGGCACATGCGGGTAGAGGTGCAGCAGGGGCCCTTGTCTCTTTACCTAATGAAGCGGGAGAGTGGGCAGCAATAATTGTCCTCCACCCTCCTGCTCCCTCACAAACACTGTGCACAGGCTGGGGAGTTTTGTGTGTGTGTGTGTGTGTGCTGTGTTGGTGTGTGTGTGTGTGTGTGTGTGTGTGTGTGTGTGTTGGTGTGTGTGTGTGTGTGTGTGTGTGTGTGTGTGTGTGTGTGTGTGTGGTTACTCATGGTTTTGCTCCCCTGAGATGGGAAATACTGAGCTATACAAGAAGTGCTACAGAAGTGCAGGGGGTGATAATAGGGGCACCTCATTCTCGTTACCTTAGTAACACTTCTGTGGGCCTTGTCCCTCCTCTGCAGCATACCTGAAAGGTCTGAATCAGAAGCAAAGACGGGAGCATTACTACACCAAGGACTTTATCACACTGAAGGACATCGACACCTGGAAAAAAATGGCTAAAAGTGAGTCTTAAGGTTTTAAAACCCTTTGTCAGTGGGTAGCAGATTTCCATTGTGGGTCAGGGTTGAGGGGCACTGAAAGAGCTGCGGTGGGGGAACCCCAGGATTGGGATAGCAGAGGACTGTGGTCAGGATTAAGGGGCACTTAAGTGGCTTCCAGTTCAGCCATCTGAAAGTAAAACCCAAACCCCAGTGTGAATTGTGGAGTGGAGGGCTCCCCAATTTGGAATCTGCTCTCCCTCTCAGTTCTGCTCAATCCCAGGTCTATCGTGCTTTGGGCATGGCACAGCCCTGCCCTTTCTATCCCAGAATCCTGGTTCTGTGAAGGAGCGTATGGCTGGATTCTTCTCCTGTAGGGCATGGAGACCCCTGACCTTGGCCCCTTGTTTCTAGATGCCCGACTGAAGCAACCTGAAGAGGCCAAGTTCCCCAAGGACAATCAATTGAATGAGAAGATCTCTCTTGTTCGCCGGGACATCACGAAACTGGAGATGGATGCAATCGTCAATGCAGGTGAGTGGATCACAGATCCGCTCTTCTGACCGGAATCCCTGCTCCTATGGAAACTGCAGCTCCCTCTCTCTACATGTTGCTTGTTGGGGCAGCTGCTTTTGGTCACAGGGGGTCATGCCCCATGGTGAACATACGGAAAAAGAGGACTAGATGTTGCTTGTTGGGGCAGCTGCTTTTGATCACAGGGGGTCATACCCCATGGTGAACATATGGAAAAAGAGGACTAGGTGGGACAAAACATGCTCCCATCTGCCTCTGGGGCTGGCAGGAGTGCTAGCTGCCTGTCAGGCTTATGCTCTGAGCAGGGAGCATGTTTCTGAAGTGTAGGGTGCTGGGCTGCCCCCAAGAGCTGCTGGCTGGATGCCACTTGGCTCTGGCCTGTCTGTTTTGGAGCACAGGGCTCCTGCCTGCTCAGAAAACATGCAGCCTATGCCACTTCTGCACAGTCAGTTCTATTGCCCCCCCGCAGGAACCCCTCAATTTTGTAGGACTTATGTGTGTGTAGGGTGTTCCAAGTGCTCTGTAGAGTTGGTTATTTGCCTGCCCAAAGATCATGGTGCATGTCTAGGATTTTGGTTGGCTGTGCAGGGTGACTGGATCTATTGCCACCAATAGCTGCTCTATATTTGTCTCCATGGGCTGTGTCACCTTGCTGCTTAGTGAGTTGTCTCTGTGAGGTGGTTGGGGCTTGGGGCTGATTGATGGATATGGATTTATCTGAGATTCTTTTTAAACCTTTGTTCAGAGCAAAACTCCCTTGCCCATTGGTGAGGCCAAGCTGGGATGTGTCTGATTGGATTAGGGGAGGTAGGTTTCATGTGGCACTGACCCCATTTTTGCTGCTATCCATTTGTGAGTGTGGCTTGGGGTGAGTGTCACAATCTTGCAGGAAATGGAGGTTGGTGCAACTAACTCTCCCTGAGCATCGGATGGCTCTAGAACCCCAACCCTGCTACCCATCGGGAAATGGGCTGAACTAAACCTGAGGTGTGGGTGGGCTGGGTACTATCTGGATTCCATTACTCTTCTGATACAACTGATTACCCCTCTCTTGTACCATAGCTGGCAGGGTGTGGGGCAGGCTCTCCTGTCCAGCATCGTCAGGGTTAAATGAACCAGTGAGACATCTCTCCCTGTAACCCAGGCTGTTGGCAGACTCAAGTGAGTGGCATACCAGTTACTCAGGGTAGCTCCCCCTTCTGAGAGAATTCGGCTCAGGCTCTCTGCAGACTCAGTCAGCGTTACTGTGTTGAATTACGTTCAGGGCAGCTCCCTCCATCAAGAGCAGTCTGCTCAGGCTCTCTGCAGGGGGAGGGTGACTGCATGTGTTACGCTAGGGGCAGATCCCCGTTCTCAACATGCTAGGCTCAGGGTCTCTGCAGGCTTGCGCAGGTGTTGCTGCAGCTGTTATACTTGAAATCAAATGTTCCAGCTTTTGGGTTTGAATCTTTTTCATGCATCATCCCATGACTCCAGGAGTTGGGGTTTTAAGATAAATGTCATGTAGCAGGGGCTTTTTGATAGAACTGTGAGAGTGGGCAAGTGTGATCATAGACCTGACTGAGGCCTTAGACATGATAGACCCCATGTCTGTTCCTTGCCACTCCCTTACCATGCGGTTGGATTGAAGCCAATGCCTCGCTTCAGGGGAAAAGCCCCATGTTTCATTTCCCATCCCCTGATCCAACCACTCACCCTCCCTCTGGTTGGGGTCCAGATTGGAGCTGGTGGCCTCTAGAGAGGAAAGGTAATGTCTCTCTTTTTTGATGGGGTGTGTGTGTGTGCGCTTTTCCCCCTGTGGTCTCCAATCCGGTGTGTGCCAAAACTGAATGATGGAGCCTTCCCCAGAGCTGCCCTCCTTCTTTTTCAGCACAGATGCTCCATTCTGTACTCAATTGAATCTGATCCCAGAGTCCCCCCGAGAGATGACTCCAGTGCCATTTATCTCTGACATCCAGCTAAGAAGCCCGTCAACACAGTCAGCACACCCACCTCAAGCTGCAGGGAGATAAACTCTAGCCGTATGTTCCCTGTGCGTGTTCATCATGGTGGGTACTTGTGAGGATAGGGCTCTGCTTGGAGCCAGCTGCTTTATGAGAACTGACTCCACCATGGGAATTACCAGTCTGGTCATCCATCCCAGTATGCCACCTCTGACAGTGACCAGTACAAGATGCTTTGGAGGAAGTAGTGAGAGCAGATATGGGTTTATCTGCTTTCCCTGAATATCTCAGACTAGACCTACTAGAGATCAGCTTAAGCCCTGAATCCTAAGGCTGTGTCTACATTGGCATGATTTTGCGCAAAAGTGCAAAAACTTGCTGCCTGTCTACACTGGCAGGGAGTTCTTGCGCAAGAACGCTGACATTCTAATGTGTGAAATCAGTGCTTCTTGCGCAAGAACTATGATGCTTCCGCTCAGGAATAAGCCCCTCTTGCACAACGGTTCTTGCGAAAGAGGCCAGTGTAGACAGGCAACATGAATTTCTTGCGCAAGAAAGCCCGATGGTTAAAATGGCCATTGGAGCTTTCTTGCGCAAGAGAGCACTGATTTCTACAGTGTCTACAGTGGCACGGATGCTCTTGCGCAAAGGCACATGCCAGTGAAGATGCTCTCTTGCGTAAATACTCTAACGCAAAAACTCTTGCGTTAAAGGGTATTTGTGCAAAATCTTGCCAATGTAGACGTAGCCTAAGGGTTTAGTTCCCATCCAAAATCTTTGCTAGGGAGGTTATCTCTGCCTTTGGCACTTACTAGGGGTGTTTGAATGTAAATGACTGTTTAACAGATAAACTGATAACTCAGCGAAGCCTCCGGGAGCCGGGGGGGTGGGGCAAGGCAAGGGCTGCTGCCCTGACTCCCGGAGAGGCAGCTTCTGCATCAGGAAAGCCTCCTCTTTATACTGCAGAGCCTGTAGTGTTAATAACTGTGAAACCACTGAGATTTTCAGTGATTACACAGTTACCCTAATACACAATTTTTAACGTCCCTAGCACTTATATGACAAGAACTGGAAAATGGTCAGATTTTAGGTTCCCAAATCCTGGTGATATTACTAGCTTGGAGAGGGTTCAGAGTAGAGCCCCAAGAATGGCTAACGGTTTGGAAACAATGCCTTAGAATGCAATACTCCAGGAGCTCTATTTAGCTTACATGAGGGACAGAAATTTGATGGTAGATGTCCCTTCAGTTTAACAAAGGTTCAATAAGATCCAATGGATTGAAGATGAAGTGAGACAAGTTTGCAAAAGAAGGCACAGATTTGTATCAATTTGGATGATTAAGCAATGGAATAACTTCCCAAGGGGATCAGTGCATTCTCCATCACTAGCAGTGTTTTAAATCCAGACTGGCTCTTTTACTAAAAGATCTGCTGTGGTTCAATGAGGAATTAGTTCAGGGTTGTCCTATGGGCCATGAGTTATACTGGAGGTCCAGCTACATAATCTTGGGACTTTCTGGCCTTATGATAACCTAAGAATCAGCTGTTCTAGCTCTGGACATTTTTGTTAGTCATAGAAATGTGCAGCAACTCTTTGACTCTTGCTACGTTTTTGATTTCTTAACTGTATCCAGTGGCAGAGAGTTCTGCTGGCTAATAATTGTCAAGTAACAAAATATTTCCTCTGATCAGTTTAGAATTGGCCACCCTCCCATTGTGTTCCCTGACTCTTGTGTTATATGATGAGCGGAAGTGTCCCCGCTTCCATTTGCTCTAGAAAGCCTTGCAGGTTCAAAGTCATTGGAGGGCTGTTTTGTACCCTGTTGTGCTGGGTGCAGTACAGTCCTACAGTTCAATGAGGAGCTTGCAAATGAATTTTTGTCCCCTTAAAAAAAAAAAAGGTAGTTTTTCTTTTAACACAAGGGCATTTCTGGTTGAAATTACGTTTTGCTGGGAAAATTTCCCTCCCACTCACTTTGGCACTAGTGGAGGGGAGGGTTCATGTTTGTAATAGAAACTGGGGTGCTATGGGAGTTGCACCAATGGGCGGTGATGCAATGAGGGTGAGAAGCCAGGAATATGCTTGTGGCAGGAGGGTTAGGAAAGGATGCAAAAAGGTGTCAGTTTCCAGGCACCGGAAGGGCAGCTGTTTGAAGGGCAGTGGCCAAGCCAAGCTCAGAGTGGCTGAGGGTGAATGAGCAGGTGTCTGGGGAGCAGGAGCACTCTCTAGGATTGCAAGGAGTGAGAAATTGCTGTGGCTGAGTGCTTTGGGGACTACCAGAGCCATTTCTTAAATGCAGCCTTGGACTCTTGGCTGGAAACAGGAACACAGAGACAGTAATGAAGTGGCGGAGGCTGCGACAGTAGATTTGGAGAAACCTCTGAAGGCGAGATGGTTTTCTGAGCCACAGAAAATCATTTAAACCCCTTCTACCTATAAAGCAAAACTTGGCCTCTAATAATATGTGTAGTATAGTAGCTTCTATGAGTCCCAAATCAATGAGATTGGGGCTCCCATCATGCTGGGCTCTGCAAAGCTCCTGACCAAAATTAGGGCCCTGGTCTGTGCAGAGCCGCATGATGCATGGTGAGAGACAGTCCCTGCACTAAAGAGCTCACACTCTGAATAGATGAGGGGGAGAAGGGTGGACATACTGTGAGGGGGAAGGGTTACCCAAGGCCAGTGGCAGAGCTGGGAGCAGAGCCTAGATTTCTCCTTCTTTCCTTTGTCTGATTTGGCTGTTTCGGGGTTTGCTCTATATAGAATTTGCATCAGTGACTTAAATCTGTTGTGGAACGGAGTTAGTTAAGTCAGTGCAACCCCTGTGGATATTTGTATCTGCTTAAAATGACTTAATCGTTTTAGTTGGTGCCTGTAAATTGACTACTGTGAGATTAAATCGATGTAAGCCAGGTTGAAATTGATGTAAGGGCATCCTCATGCAACAATGCATCTGAGTCACTAACTTGGTGTAAAGTTACCTCTCTGATTATATTGCTGGAACTCGGAATTAAGGCCCATTTGTGTCTGTGCAGCACAGTTGGATCCCGTCTCACTGGTCCCCCCTACCTTGGTAGACACAACAAGTAATAACATGTCAAATATTGACACAGCTGATCCTTCACTGAAATGTGCTCTCCCCCATGCCACAGCTGGGCAGAAGAGGGCGCCCGTGCCTCAGCTTTCCAATGTGCTGCTTATTAATTTCCTCCCCGATAAATCAACCTGTTTATTAGAAGAATAAAAGTCTTAACTAACAAGGGGCTTTGTCAGTGCTTCATAAATCCTGCTTCTGTGCCTCATGAAACCCATATGTGGTTAATTCATATGTAAAGTCACAAGCAGGAATATAATACCTGTCCATTAAATTCTATGCGACCTGATAATCATCATTAGCCATGAGTAATTGCCTGATCAGCATTGCGCAGCAGTAAGGGAAATGCATTTTCTGCTCCTCTGTACTAACAAGGGTATGTGTGGATCAGGGGGGTGTTTCTAGGCCTGGGAGGCTCCTTTGTAAGTCACTGCTCCTGGGGAGAGGGGACAGGGCCAGGCTTTTTCCTGCATGAAATGGAGTGTTTCTGCCAGGATGCTGTCCCTCTAGAATTGATGCCTGCAGCACTGAGCGGCATGTCCATGGCTCTTTGGTAAAACATCTAAGAAGTTCCAGTTCATTCGACCGGACAGGGCAGAGCAGAGGACGTCCGTGGCTGGCGTATGCTGATCCAATTCTAGTGGTGACAAACGAGTGACAGACAATTTACCTACTGATTCCAGTGGCATGATGGCTGATTTATACCAGCTGAGGATCTGGCCTGAGGACCCTTTGCAATCCTCTGACATCTTCATAGTTTGATCTAAAAAACCAGCATGGATATTAACAAAGCATCCCAGCCCCTTGGTCGGGTAATATACAGCTGGCTGTCCTCTTATAGGTGGAAAACATGACACACAGACAGAAAAAGTGACTCTGCCAAGGCTGTACAGGAAATCAGTGGCAAAGATGCAAATAGAAGTCAGGAGTCCTGAATCCCATTCCACTGTGTTCTGATCACTAGTTGCCCTCTGTAGTTAAGAGAATAATGAAGTGAGACATGATTAAGGCCACTTACCATACAGAACATGGGGACAATATATTCAGAATTGGGTTGCTAATGTTTGGCTCCTAAATGAATATTTAAGACCCTAGAGAGTGGCCTGATTTCTGTAGACCCCACTAACTGCTCAGTCTCTTGAGAGACAAGTTGGCCTTGCAGCTAAATCTCTGGGCCAGGGTTCAAGGCACCTGTGTTCAGCTGAGGTTCCTCTCCCCCATTTGCCAGGTACTGCACAGACACACAGTGACAGCCCTTGCCTGGAGGAGTTCAGAAGCTATATAAAGGAGGAAGAAAACAGAGGCACAGATGGGGAGGGACTTGTCCACATCAGAACCCAGGAGTTCTGTGCTATTCTTCCCAGTCTGTCTGAACTGCACTGCTTTGCATCTTGGAAATTAATAATCTCTGACAATCTTGGGAGATCTGGGTCAATCACCTCCTCTTTCACCTCTTGCCTTGTATGGCCTGGGCAAGTCACCGTGTTTAGCATGGCCGACAGCCAACGTGGGCCCCGGGGCAAGGTGTGGGGGGATGGGCTCCATGACCCCAGAGGGTGTGGGGCCTCATGTGGAAGAGGGCAGAGTCTGAGGGCAATCAGCTCTTAGTGCTGCCCAGACTACAGCTGTCCCACCTCCCCCCTCCCGCCTCAGAGCTGCATGGAGCAGCACTCCAGCAGCAATTCAAAGGGGCCTGGGGCTCCGGCTGTTGCTGTTGCAGCAGCAGGGGCGGGGAACTGCAGCTCACTTGCTCTCCTCCCCTGTCTGCAGGCCTGATCATGTCTGTGCCCGGTGTCCCTGTCCGGACGCTGGAGATAATAGCACTGCCCTGCCTTACAGGCAGCTTGTAACCACATTACAGCAGTGGGGTTCTCAGCCTGTTTGGGTTCAGGCCCCTTCTGTAAACTGTGATGGCCTGTTGTGACCTCGGGACCAGGCAGGGCTTCATGTTCACTGGATTGAGTCCAGATGCTCCAGTGAGAGATGAGC